GGGGATGTAGCTCAGCGGTAGAGCGCATGCTTTGCATGTATGAGGCCCCGGGTTCAATCCCCGGCATCTCCAGCGGTGGCGCGGAGCCCCCGCGGCTTTTTGGGGACCGGAGGAACCCCGCGAGCAGCCCAGAATCTCCCGTGGGGCCCCCGCGCCCTCGGCTTGAACTGGCTGGGGGGCTGCTGGCCCTGCTGCTGCTCCCTCTTTTCCTTTTTCTCCTCCTTCCCCTTCTTCACTTCTCCCTCTTCCTTTCTTTTCCTGCTTATTCGTCTTTCTCCTTCCTCACCCGCGTTCCAGCGTTTGTTTTCACCCTCCATCTGGGCGAGGGAAAACGCGGGGCCGCGTCCCAAAACCCCTCGAGTCACGGCATAGGCAACGACCCCTAAATACAAGAAATTCCGCAGCCGGCCACTGTTTCATCCCATTTAAAGATAAAAAAGCAAACATATTTTTCAACCAGCAGCAGAGTGGCGCAGCGGAAGCGTGTTTGCAGTTCCTGTTCTGATTCTCTTCCCCTTTACAAGTCAATAGCATGGTTCCGAGACAAAATTTTCCCTGGAAAATCCACAGCAAAATCCTCTCAAATTGTTTTCCTGTGTGTATTTCCAGTCAAGAGAGGGAGCCCATGTGTCTGGGCACAGTCCCAGGGTGTTTGTCCTTCAGGAAATTCCTGGCCGAGGTCTGCCTTGGCTATAGTTTGGCACAGGAAGGCTGAGCAGTTTGTTCAGGCTCACATTCAAGGGCATAAAAATGACTGTCTGGACTGGTTCAGAGTTAAACATCGTGCCAGGTCTGAACATCGCCTCACACTGTCCTTGGATGCTGCAGCTAACGTGGAATAATTCAGCACGATGCCGCAGGGCTCGCGAGCGCGGCTCGCTGAGTCACCCCAGCGCCAACCCGAGGCACTGCACGAGCAGGCACGGAACTGCTTGGCCTCATCTTCCCTCGGCACTACAGGAGAACAGAAAATAGGGTCAAAGCTTCTCTGAGCAAAGCCCCTTCTGCTCTATAAACATGTATATCCATGGGTGCATATATCAGGGATCAGGCCTAGGCTCAGCTAAGAGTTACGGCCTTGTTTTAGAGGAGGCAGCTCTCTGCCTTTCTACGGGTGCACAATGATCACCTCTGCCCCAGCTCTTTCACCTCTTAAGGCTTCTCTCTTCCCCCTTGGTTGTTTACTTCCTGGGAAGGCAACGTTCATGGATACTCTCCTCCAGTGACAAATTCCTACAGGGGGCAGCAGAAAGAGATCTGGGGCCAAAGGTTGAGCCAGGGTTTGGAGCTGCAGTTGTATGTGAGGAACAGTCTAGAAAGTTCTAGAATTTTGTTTATTACACTAGCCCACACAGAAAATATGTCTCCTGTGCAAACCAAGTACTCTGCATACACCGTGTAGCTCGACTAATATAGTCCAGAGAGAAACTTTAGTAATACATAATCAATAAAATAAAATGGATAAAATTATCCAAACATTTATATTACAAAATACCAGTGAAATAGCTGGTAAAGCTTCTGAGAATACAGAGGACTTCCCAAAAGAAACAGAGTAAAAACCAGTTCATTTATAAAAAGGTATGTGCTAGCAGTTATTAGCAAGTCCACTTCTGTTCCATGGTATTTCCAAGCTCTCAAAGCACCTTGGAGAAGCAGGACACTTCACAGTGCTACAGGAGGCCACTTCTTGGCTAGATCAGCGTGCATAACCTCAGGGATCCACTGGCAATAGGTAGTGAGCAAGTCTGCAGGGAAAAGAGCCACATTTTCGTCACCACAACAGCGTCCGGCTTTGGATACCTTATAATTTGGTAGCCCGATATTGATAAAAAATGACTTTGACCTGACACAGAATTATTCCTGTATGCACTGACAGTATCATCTTAGAATCTACTCTCTTAAAACCCCAAGCCCAAACAATTTAACTTTTGACAGAATTTTTTTTCTTTATATTTCTCAAATATAAAGAAATGCTGTTTGTTTTCTAAAGGATAGAAAGCTCCACAGCTCTTCACAAAGAGCCCAGCCTTTAGTGCTTGCTTCTAAGAAAATAATATGAAACAAAATAGATCATCTTTTTAACTACACTTCAAACTACCAACTGTGCTTGAGATATCTCAACCCACCACTACCCCACTCTCCAAAATGACTAATAAGCAAGCAGGACACTCACATTTAGGATTTTTCTTCCATGCAGCCAGCAAAGCATCACGGTTATCACAATTTTCTGCAACGAGAGCCTGCAGGAGGGATTCTGTTCTGGGCTGAAGCCTAAGTAAGTCCAAAATAAAATGGTACAACAAAGCAACATTCATTAGCTCAAGGACAGCAAGGCCAAATACATCACAACTTTCAGCCTGTGCATGTCTTAATGGCTCTAATACTGCTAAGACAATAAATGCAGATGTGTAAAAACACATGACATTGGGATACAGGAACATGCGGTTAGCTTAAGAAAAGTTCATTAGAGGTCATTTATTCCCCTACCTTTATTATTTTTTTTGCTAAAGAAAAATTTGCAGACAACTTATTGCTGATGGCATGAAGAGGCAGTGAGAAACTAGCTCACACTGAGAAACAGAACTACAAAAAATAGCAGAAAATAAAGCCAGAAAGACTCCATAGGTCTCTGGTTCAGCTCTTAAATGACTAAGAAAGGGAAACCCTTTGTAAATGTAGTGTAATGTTTGTGCCTGTTACATTTAACAAAGTCTTTCAAATTCTTCTACCTACCAGCTCCACAAAAACTCACAGAAAACTAACAAAAAAGGCTTATTAAGGTAAACAAGAGAGTGCAGCACTGCAAAGACATGAAAAGCAATAGTTGACTTCTTTTGAGGGTCACAGTTTTTAAATGTCATCAAAAGCATCAGAAAAAAAAAGGCAAATATCCTTGGTAACCTATTTTTTTAGTACAATTGGCTCAATTCAATAAAACATTAGAAAAACAGTTACTTAAATATGTGAGCAATTTATCTGTACAGATCAGCTCACAGAGGTCAGTGTGACCAGCAGGCTGCATGTGTGCTCCCACACTTGTCCTTCAACTAGGCCAGTTCTCCTGAGACAGAATTTTTCTTGCTAAGGAAATTGATTTTCCTCTTTCCACAGCTACAACCTAGATCATTATCTAGAACACCCTCCCCAGGATTGAACTTTTTTATTTTAAGGCAGGTAAAAACATTAATTGGAGAGAAAAAGAAGTAAGTTTGTTGTTAACCACTTACTTGGACCACGTCTTCAGCATTATGACAGGACTGGACAGCAGACACCGGCTATAAGAGGCCAACTTTTCAACAACCTGGAAGATTTGTTAGATCAAGTACATAATGAACAAGGTAAATTAATTGTCCTGTGGAAATAAACATTAATGAACACAGACTTCTATAGGTTTCAGTTCCATAGTCCCTATTATGCTATCTCTTTCTCTTATCTAGACACACAAAGAAGGCAGCCACCAGGTTCACCTCTAGAAGCTGGGCTAAAAACATATTTAATGTCAAGGAAGTTGGAATATCCTTACCTTTCCTTCCAGCAGGAACCTGGCAAAGTGTTTATAGCGATCAATACCTTCTGGATAATCAACTTCCACAGCAGGGAGCGGCCAGCTAACTCGATCTGGAAAGAAAGATCACACTGGGTTTCCTAAATGATCAAAGAGGAGGATAATTTTCCATGCGAGGTGTGACAATAAGGTGCTAAGACAACTGGAAAAGTTACTGTCATCACCCAGACAGCCTTGATCCTTCATAACAGTGGGAAGACATGGACATAAAACAGCCAGGCCAATGGGAAGATGCTGATATTTAAACCCTGTGAAACCCATGAAGCTAGAACCACTGTTAAGTCCTTGGAACAGTCCAAACTGAGCTTAACCCTTTTGGTGTTCTTGACAGTATTGCTAAGTAGCACTACCAGGTCTAACGAGCATCTTTTACACAAAATTACTGAGCACGGTGTTTCAAGAAACTTACAGAAGACACTTGGCCTGTGGCATCGAATTCTGCCTGTTTCAGGGCAGTAAGATGGAGGAGGATTTTCCAGGGGTTTCCCAAAGTGGCAGTAAGGCGGCAACAGAACAGGAATCCACTCAGGTTCAACAGCAGACACACCTTACAAAAGAAAAACATGCTGCAAAATGAAGTCTTGCTGACAAGAGCCAGGCACGAGCCGACGGTTCTATGAGTAAAGCACGCACACAGGCTTTTATCACCCACAAAGGTTTATTTATGGGCTATTTTAAAGTCAGCTGCATGGATTTTAATTTCTTTTGCTTGTGCCAGTGGTTAAAGCGCAGCTACTGCTGACTGGGCTAGTGCAGAGAAGCTGTTTCAGAAATACAGCTTCCAGTCTATTTTACTAGGGGAAAAGGGAGGAATACATTTGGTCCAGTTTTCTTAGGTTAAAATCTAGGAATTAAAGGATCAAAATATCTGTATATGTCTGTAGAGTGAGTATAGCCCACCGAAGTGTTACCTTTCATGTATAATTTTGTAGTCTCAACAATTTCTTGATACACCACAAACTCTGGGAGTTGTTTGAAGAGGATCGAACTTGGATGGATAAACACAGGGTCATCTAGGAGAGCAGTCTTTGAAGAGAGCAAGGAATTCAAGCAGAGTAAGACAAGTTACTGACAATCCAATTCCTTTACTGCATCAAATTTCACTCTCTCCTAGATTGTTTGTATTGTTTCCATAAGTGACAGAAGTTTTAATAACACCACCCTTTCCTGCTTCACTTTCTCTCTGGAACCAGGAAGAGCATTGCAAGATGCACTAACTGCATTTCCTAGCTCCTCCCTACATGAGGGCTGGGAAACTGCAACATAGGAAACTTAAATTCTGTGTAGAGAAGTCGGAGAAAGCCATGAAACGCTGCCCCAGTACTGAATCCACACAGAAATCCAGGCTTTGCACAGGAGTGTTCCCCTGAGACATAGACATGAGGGAAAGGGAATTTGGTCAAATCAAGCTGCTTACCTTGTAAGCGTTTTTCCATTTGTCATCCAGGAGTTCCTCTGCTTGAACCCGTCGGGCTACGTGATCCCCTAGCCCTGCCAACACAATCTGTCTCAAGTAGGTTGCTTGGGCTTCCGTTGGGGGCTTCATTTTTGGATCAATGTATAGTACAGCATCAGAGCAGATTGAGTTAACTAAGGAGGGTAAAAATAAATAAATATATTTATTGATTTTACACTCAATAGAAAGGAAACTTCAACTGTCCAGTTGATTTGCTACCCCCCAGAAGGCAGACAAAACCAGCAGTTCCTGCCCAAATCCACAGAGTTCTACCTGCTGTTGTCAGCTGCCCCCGCAAGCGTCTGATTTCCAACATAGCTTTGTATCGCAGCCCATTTTCTTCACAGAACTTAGGAGTGCACCCTGCATATTCACAGGCCCCCACTGCTCCTGCAAGTGAACAATCAGGTGGACAAGATAAAAAGTCAGTTTATCAGTTTTCCTAGCACAATATTAAGCTGTGGGACAACACTGTCACTGGCCCACATGGACATATCATGGTTCCCATTCAGGGGATTTTGCATCCCCTGCATTCAGGGGTTTTTGTTAGCGTGGGACATGTGGAGGCTGCCTGGTGCACAGTCCAGAAAATATTCCACTAGACTTAGCCCTACAGCAGGAAGATGACTTTGGTTATGTAAAGCCAATAGCTCAGGGTCACAGGAATAACAAAATGGAAAATAACAGTACAGGGAATCGCTCACTGTCATACCCAACATCACCATGAGGTCTCCTAGCTTTTGCAGCTGTCCTTGCCCAGCCCAGATCTTTTGCATCTGTGAGAGCCTTGCTTTCTTCCCCTTCAGCTTTGCTGTCTCTTCCTCACTTACTGCTGGCCTGAAAGAAATATGAAACAGCACACATCAGTATAGTGCCTACATGCAGACTGATCTCAAAGCAAGAGGGACAGGTTTAAAAACAAGCTACAGGGAAGTTCAGTGCTGCTGCAGACCAGGAGTCAGCACCGCCTCGTCGCTGTGCTGCGACAGGGCCATGTGTCCTATAAACAGGACCTCAGGCTGCTTTACTCACCTGTCATACTCCTCAAAGAGCTCCCGGACAGTCATTGCAGACACGATGGTGATGGTGTAAGGCAGGCAGTCATGCTGCCTACTCAGTGCCAGCATCTTTGCATAACGTGGGGCTACAGGAAAAGTGGCCATTATTCTGCCCAAAGGACTAATAGGGCAACTCAGCTTCGCTGTCTGCTGCTCCTTCAGCCTGGAGAGGAGAAAAGGCATGAAGTTAATCCCGCCTTAATACAAGTTTGGGTTTCTGGTTTGGGCAGCTTAATTTATTTGCTTTTGATGTAATCTCTGGTTTTGTTACATGCAGGCCCGAATGCCTAGATGCTTCTCTTGCATGCAACTACCTGCCCTACACAGGGCACTTCTAGCATTGCCTTCCCCTGCCTGATCCTTGGGCTGTGCCAGTGGCTACAAAAGCCCATAGACTCTCCAGTGCTGCAGAACCAGCAACTTTCTGCTTCCTGACAGAGGCACAGCTGCTAAACAGCATCTTCTAACTCCTCAGACCAGCACACAACAGAACACCATGGCACTTCTGGAGTAACTGGTTTTTCTGTACAGATTTGTAGTGAAAAGTGCAATAATAGCTGCACCCTAATAGCTCTGACAGAGGCATATTCCAGAACTGAAAACACACTGAGGCTCCAAACAGGGCAATAAACACAGGTGAACTAAAAGCTGTTATAATGATGCCAGTTTATACATAAAGGTACATTCTGAAAAGTGGAAGATGCAATGGAAATGGGAAAGCTGCGCTCACTGTCTTGGTAACTGGTGCTTTATCACTGAGAGTGTATTTGTGGAAGACACTGTTACCTTCCTGTCATTGGGGGCTCCTTCAAGGCACCCAGGGCTATCAGCAATTCCTCAGCTGCTGCAAGTGCTTCTGCCGGCGGCGGCGTTGGGAAGGGGAAGTTGATTACCTACAGACATGAAGATAAAATGCCTGTCAGTGCTGAAGAGCAGAGTCCGAGGGCAGTAAGAACTCCATGCAACATAAACCTCCCCTTTCATTATGTTCACCAAAGGAAAACACTTAGGAAGTTTTCCAGGGACAGCAGGAAAGGAAACATAATGGGAGGAAACAAAACAATTAGGGAAACAGGAACAGCAGTGTTATTCTTAACTGCCACTGCCTGGGTCAGGCTGTTCTTCAATATTTCTTTCTCTGGACTGTTCAGCAACCCCTATTTTGTCAGGGCAAGGACTACTATTCCTCATGCAGTTCTGGGACTTGGAGGGAAGCCTGTGAAGTTAAAACACATATGCAAACAGCTTAGGCCCTCCTCCCCCTGTCCCTATGAACTACAAGACTGTTATTTTGGTGATATTTAATTAGCAAGAAACCTGATGAAAAAGCTCTGTTATCTGAGCCAAAAGAGAGGAAGTTGCAAAGTCTATTAAGATCTGATGCAACTTCTGCAATTTATTCTGCAGAATCATAATCAAGTCCCAGGTCCTCATTTCTAAATGAAGACACAGTCTCAAGCAGTGAAGATAAAGGACAAATTCATGTTTGTTTCTGGTTCTTACGGACAAGCATTTTAATGAGTGCAGCACCACAAAAAAACAGTTTTAAAGTTCACCTTTTCTATATTCAACGCCTTCATTTGCAGGATCAAGTCCTCTACTGGTCGCTTTGTTATTTCTGGAGCAGAAAATTTTTCAAAATCCATGAACACTGCTGAAGAATATAACCTAGTGGAATAAAAGCAAGGCTTAGAAACTTTAAAATATATCCTAACTCAATAGATATGCATCAAAAATTGGTAAGAAAAAAAAGGCAGCAGTGGGATAGTAACAATCCAGTAACAATGCAACTGTTTGCATGCTTCAGGCATATTCACTACCTTATGGACAAAACAAAATAATAATAAAAAAAGACAGCTGATCTGACCATTAACATAAGGGCCTGAAAAAAGGAAAAGGCTGCTGCAAAGCCTAACTATCAAACCTACATCATCTGTGACAGTGCATGTTCAGCTTCATCTCTCCAATTCGGATGAAGAACAGACAAAAGGAAATTGTTTTAAGTAGCACTGCACTAGTGCTTTGTGAAAGGGGAACAGCAGGACAACTAAAGGCAGCAGAACAAGAGAAACTATCAAATTCAAGGGACACTGGTTGGGCTTTTGTTTTCCTAACCCTCGCCAGGGCAAGTACCTAACCTGTAACAGTGCCCTGGTTCAGTCCGGCCAGCCCGACCTGCCCGCTGGTTAGCTGAGGCTTGAGACGTCCAGGTGACTCGGAAAGAAGAAACCCCAGTAATTTTGTCGTAGAAACGTTTCTTGACCTTTCCACAGTCAACCACATATTTGATGCCAGGGATGGTAAGCGACGTTTCAGCCACATTGGTGGCTACAACACAGAGTCTGGTTCCAGGAGGAGGAGGCCTGAATACCTACAGCAAACGATTGGGGACATGTAATGCATGGTCAGTAAACTAAGAGAGAGTCAGTTTATACGAGAAACAGAGGGATTACAATGTGTACAGTACAGCAAGTGAAATAAAACTACGTCAAAGACTTACACTTTTGGCCCCAGCCCTGAAGCTCTCTATCCATTTCTGTTAATCCCTCAGAGAAACAAGCAGGGCACACGCAGACCCCAAACAGTCCAGATGCCAATGGCTAGTCACACCTAGACACACTGCTGTCACCTCTGAGGTCCCAAGAGGGAGTATAAGAATTTGCAAGTGTTGTTGGATAGTAGTAGAATCCTGTCTGGCCCCACAGCTATAAGTAAATTTAACAAGCTACAGGACTGCAGCTTTTCATGTCTTCCAGCTTGCTGAACTGTCACATTAGGGACAACGCAGCCCAAGCCAGACCTGATCCCATCTCAATTTGCCCATTGGCCCATTCAAGTATGCCCACCAATTTTAAGATGCACATTTTAACCCACCAAACACACATGGCTTAACACACAACACAGCTACACATGAATAAAGGTCACCTATTCTTGTGACAACAAATCTTTACCTTTGCTTGTTTCTCTGGTGCTAGTAAAGAATAGAGAGGGAGCACGTAGAGTGGAAGGGAAGAATCTGGTTTCTCATCTGTAAAGAAACAAAACAAGATTTTGATATACACAGTGAGTCAGCTTCCAAAGCTCAGCCACAGTGCTGAGCCACTGACTCAGCCTCATTTAGAAGTAGCACCAAAGTATTGGTATAAAGCTGAAAATGGAAAACCTTAACAGCTTCTCCACTACACAGGTTTGACATGCTGTCATACCAGCTTAGCAAAGGCCAGCTAATTTGTATCACACGCTTCACATGGGACTGTAGATGGGCAATTCTATTTCTTAAGTGCCAAACCTTCTCCTGAGTCTGCATCTCCTAAATCAAGATCAAGATCAGATCCTGCCATGTCATCGTCAGTTTCTGCATCCCTGTCTTCATCCCCTTCGTCCACTGGTATGACAGAGTAATTGTCCAGATCGATTTTGGGAAGTGACTGAAAAAGACAGGAGAGGGAGAAAACAAAACAAAACAAAACCACAAAGCATTAGGCCTTTCAAAGCACAGTGTTATCCCTTACATAACTGACAAGATCAACAATTCCCATTGCTTTAAAATCAAAACTGAGTGCTTATTCCAAACTTTTGTTGACAGGAAGGTCATTAAGTGATTTCATTTATACTTTAAGACTGAGATGCTAATTCAACTGTGCTAACTGTGAGAGTTAGGGGGGAAAAAAACTGAGTAAATAATAATAAAAAAAACTCCTTCTGTGCAGAGCCTTTTTTTTTTTTTTTTTTTTTTCTCCAAACGGGGACTCTTCCCCACAACTGTCCTTTACTCAAGCTACCAAGATCTGATGCCAGCAGACAGCTTATCCGTAGCATCATGAATTCCTGCTAACAAATTTCACGCAGGACTTGGTCAGAAACAACACTGCTCTTGTTCATAGACACATCAGTCCCAGTTTTGGATAACAAGTGATGAGATGAGAGCAGTCCTGGAGCCAGCAAGTCTAGAACCACTTCCATTAAAGTTTTATTGGTCAGTACTTAATTGAAATCAATCTCCTGCCTATAATATCCAGGGACACATTTTATAATGCTCATAATGGAGTATTTATCAGTGTAGATAAACATGTTCCCTCTGAACGTTGGAGAATTCCACCAAAGAAAGGACCTATTGGAAAACATTTTATTTTTCCCTACCAGAAAACTGTGAAAGAAAAACGAGTATTTTCATCTTGGACAAAAAGCAGATGAAAATATTCTTGGAGGTTAAGAATAAACCATAGGTTTTATATCATTTAATTATGCTTTGCCCAAGTCAGGATGACTCTGGCCTACACACATCCCTGAAAGGATATATTCCCTCAAGGAGAACTATATAGGACACAAGGCACAACTAGAACAGAGTTTGGAGAGAAACGCAGCTACTCAGGACTACTGCTTTGCCTGCTCCTTCCTGTCTCTTGGTGAAATTCTAGCCATCACACATTACCATAGCTTTCTTCTTCCTCCTGGATTTCTTAAATTTTCTGATTTCTTCCACTGATTCTTCTTTGTCATCATTTCCTATAGAAATATGAAGTAGAATTACTATTAGCTCAGCTGCCCTCCTCTACAGTGAGTGTGGAAGCCTGGCCATACTCTTCATGTGGGATCCACACAATCTTGCCTGTGATTTAAGAAGTGTCACAGTATAAAAGCAGCAAATGGTCATGTTGAGGACACGGGTGTCCCAAAAGTTTAACATTAAGGTTCACTTTATGAATCACACAACGGCTGAGGATTGACAGCAATACACACAAACACATCTTGAGGTTTAGGAGAGGATTAGCTGGGCATATCAGAATTGAATCTAAAGCCACTTTGGGAAATTCAACTATCCTCAAAGCAAATAACCTCCAAGCAGCAGCAGTCCTTCCACTTGTAACTCAGCCAATACAATGACTGAACAAATGCAGTGAATGCCAGGGAATTAGAAGATACTGTAGGGGTGTATATATACATATATATACATATAAATATATATAAAGCATTTACCCTGAACTCAAATTAGCACAAACTGGACAAAATCATCTATCTTGCACCTTTGTCCATTCCTGGATTTTGAGGTTTCTTTAGGTGCAAAGCAAGCTCACTTCTTGGTGAAATAAATTCCAACTTTAACAATCCTTTATTCTGTAGCATTACCTGCAATGTTATTCTTTTTGAAAGGAAAAGCTTTCCTCAGCCTTCTACAGAGTGAGTGAACTTCAGCCTGTCCTGTCAAAAACACCAAAATCCCACCTGCAAGAGAAGAGACAACTCTAAACCTCAGTGTAGTTATCTCACCTTGGAAAGTTTCAGAACTCATTCTTGGTAAGACACATATTGCAATGTAACAAGGAGAAACAAGAAACATACTAACATAACAATGACTTAAGTAAAGGCTAATTTTCACAACAGATATCTTCCAGTTAAACGCAGGTAATGTATTATTATGTTCCAATGTCTTGTTAGAAAGAGAGAGAAAAAAAAAAGAACAAGAACAAACTCGGAAGGTTTGAGCCATGTTAAGTGTAAAGAGGTTTCCAGCAGTGATCCTACCTGAGGGCAGCATTCGATGGATTTTACACACTTTTCTGAAGCACTCCCCACTATAGTCATCTAGGGGGGTTTTCTTGTTGAAGTGAATAGTCACAGGGTATTGCCTTGCATCTACCTAGACAGGAAACAACAATAAACAGAGAATGTTGTATAACCCAGCACAATCAGTTCTTGTTCTCCCACAAAAGCTGCAAACTCATCTCAGTGTTCTCTTCAGGTCTTATTTTTGGGAACCTACACAACACTGGCCCCACACAAGTCAGTTTTGTCCATTCAGAACACCTAGAAACCAAACTTCTCTTTCAGATCATCTCCTCAGTTTGAGGCTTTCTAGTTCTCCCAAGCTGTAATTTCCAGTCTTTCAAGATAACCCATTTCCTGTCAGGTAAACCATGCCTGACAAAAATGGAAAGAAAAACACCCCAAGAAACAACAAACTAAACAAAATAGCTACTTTTAAATGGATAACTGTCTCAGCACCAACTGAAAAGGTTAGAGTGTCTGCATTTTATAAAGAATGTTCTCACAGTATTTAAGCCATTACAACTGACACGGATCCCAGCAAGAGGGATGATACCTGAATAACAGGAGGTACCACAGAAAACAGCCTCTTGTTCTCAGTGAAGTCTTCCACACGAAGGGTGGCTGACATGACGATGAGCTTCAGCGGTAGCCCTTTCTGCAGGGACACAAACGTGCTGTATTATTCTGTGCCTGAATCCTCATGCTACCACTGACTTGCCTGTAAACCACTGAACTCTCTCATCTCCGTGTGAACACACACGCATATCCATAAGTAAAACAGGTACCAAGAACTGTTGCATAGTCCACCAACCCTATTTCCAGCATCTGTCAGGACTGGACACTTCAAAGTGTCTGCCAGGATCCCAGGAAATGTCTTATCCTCATCACTGTTATTAGCTGGCTTATTTCAGCACAGCAGTAAGCATCTCACTTCATAGTAAACTTCTAATTTAAAAGTCTTGTGGCACTATGAGTCTGGAAATGAAATGGATATTGACTCTGGAAAATGCTCTTGGTACTGATATGTGCTGTTTTTACCCTCTTGTAGGTCCTGTGCTGATTGTATCACAAGGGAAAAACAAGCATGCATTATCTGTGTCAGTGCTTTTTACTGCTTTTCATCACATTCCCACAGCACAGAGGCCCTCACACAAAGTCTTTTCATGTCCTGCCCCAGTATGTCCACTTATAGCACTGAGAACACTGCCAGGCTGTGCAGTTATTTTTGCTTCTCTGTCACATTCCCACTGACTCCCACAGCACAGAGGCCCTGTTCCTCCTCACACAAAGCCTTTTCATGTCCCGCCCCAGTACGTCCACTTATAGCACTGAGAACACTGCCAGGCTGTGCAGTTATTTTTGCTTCTCTTACCTTTTCACGAAGAGGCACAATGCGAGACAAGAGGCCTATCAGGATATCTGTGTACATACTTCTTTCATGGGCTTCATCAATAATAACTACTTTGTACTTTGAAAGCAGAAAGTCCTGAGAAGAAAGAGAGAGAAGATCAGTGATTTCAGCACATGAGCTCTCATCTAAGGTCTCATCCTCACTAAAGCAGTGAGGAGCTAAGAGATACGGATATAATCCTACACGAAACAAGCAGCCTATAACCAAGCTGAATCCCAAATTGCACATGAAGCGCCCTACTTCTGAAGATGCTCTTCCTTGTTCTTGTTTTATAGAGCAAGAAAACCTAACATTTAGGGTTATAATCCTTGGGCAGGATTATAAAGGGTTAACATGAAATACAGTTAAAATGCAGAAACTGGTTTTGCTTTGAAAGGCTGGTAGCAAATCCATGCAAACTGACTGGTATTTCCTTCTAGCTACACAAATAATTTACATCATTGAGGAGAGCAACTTACCTTCTGAATTTCCTTCAGCAGCACACCATCGGTCATGAACTTGATTTGTGTTTCATCTGACACATTTCCTTCATATCGTATTTGATATGAAACAACTCTGTAAGGAAATATCAACATAACCACAAGAAAAGCATGGGGAGAAACATAAAACTCATGTTCATACCAGGAATCAGCCTTTAACCTAATTAAATCAGAGCTTGACATCGGCACAAGCAAAATCATCAACTCCCCAGAGCCTAACATGCACAAAAGTAGAGGAATTTCACTCTGAATTACATCACTATTGTGGTACACTTTCTCATGGAGACACAAATTTGGATTGTTTCCAACATACCATCTTTGCAAAGCACTCTCTAACTTACAACCATTAGGAGCACCAAGTCCGTGGGGGGCTCTTCCCACGGACAACCCGGAGGGATTATAAATAAACTCCCTACAGTTCTTTGCTGGAGACAGAACAGCCAATAAGTAAATCTCCATTGCTAACACATACACAGCTTATCTCCATGTTATATTCCCAGCAAGGTCCCAGCTTTTTTATCTCCATGCTCCTCACCTGTGCGACAAATTCATTTCTTTAGCAACTCGCTGGGACATGGACACAGCAGCCACACGCCGAGGCTCTGTGATCCCAATGGCACCACTTGAACTAGGAAAGAGAAGTGGGGAGAAGGTTATTTTAGAGAGAAGCATGTAGAAAGATAACAGCACGATTTCTGCATAATAGCTCTGAAGACAATATTGATCGCTTAGAAGCGTTTTCAATTAAAAGTTAAAAGGAAAACAGAGGAAGCTTTGGATTAACCCTTATACCCATTGGTATCACAATCTAAGTATCAGTGATTTTTTCCTCCCCAAATTCCTTTTTAGTTTCATTTTTTTCCTGAACACTACCCCTCTGGGCAGCCTTCTGACAGTTTGGTTCATTTCAGAAGAAACTCAGGCTGGGGTCACAGCAGCACAGGAGGTGAATGGACCTTATTACAGCCCACAAGAATCTTATGTCCAAGCTTGTCAATATAAGCAACAGCACCAAGCTAGCCATGCTGCTATTAAGAGTGAAACGTGCATATTTTCTTGCAAAGGTGAAATAAACCTCTGTAAGCAGAGGTGATCTCTATATGCTATGGGCAGCCAATACTGTCCCTCTGCAAAGAGCAGAGCAGCAACTTTAAAGAAAACTTTCCCCATCAAGATCTTAAAACATTACTTATGTGAATAAACTTTTGCAGTCACAACATAAATTTATTTACTTCAGATTTTTTTTTGTAAATCCACTCCACTCCCACTACATAGAGAAAAGCAAGTTTGGTTCAGTCACTTCGGAACAAAATCGGAATTGGCTGAGCTAGCTTGAGTTTTCATAATCACGTTTACTGCGTATAAGAGAAGATTCCTACCTGGCATAGCCAGCTTCATACAGAAACTGAGGTACCTGCGTGGTTTTACCGCTTCCTGTTTCTCCACATATCACCACGACGGGATTCTCATTAATGGCTTCCATGATAGATTGCTCTTCAGCAAGAATTGGAAGCTTTAGTCTTGCTTCCTAGATAAAGCACACGTTTTACTTGCCCTGTTTTGTCTCCACTCCTTTTCCACTCTTCACCAAGACTGTAATCAGTCTTAGTTTATAAAATCCCTGAACAGGAATCCTGCAAGCTGTATGGCTTGAAAAGGTCCAAACTAGCTAATATCCCACTGCCATGTTCAAGAACCAGACATAGGAAAACAACTTGTCAGAAAACACCCGTCAAAGTCCACACTTTATTTTTTTAAATTCTAGAGTTTCACAAGTCTATTAACAAGGTACTTCAAATAAAAGCCTATTTCAAAACTCTGCCTTGTTCGCTCAAACATGAGCAGAGATTTTCCTCCTTCTAGATACTACTCTGCCTACATCAAATGGAGTAAAGCTACCCTGACTAATACATTGCATAATGGAGAACAAAAAGCAACTTCACAAGACTTTCGGTGAAATACTGCTAATTGATTATACATTTAAAGCTAAATACTTATGACATTAAGCAAAACCAATTTTCTTTCTGCACAAGCTTAAAGCTCACACTTGTGCAGGCATAATTTGCCAGAACCAGTGCTATAAAAGCACATTAGTGCAGTGCCAGGAGTATTGGTAATGGATGCAAGACAATGCTGTAGTGTCTGCGGTGAATTAATTTCACAGAAGATACTGTAATTTCCATTCCCCTTGATGGGCTTTTTACTGTTAACAGAGCCTCACCTGAATCTCAGGAGCCCTGTCCACAGGGATGAAAACTGCAGGCTTGCAAGAGGGTTTGTTGGATGCTGTCTGACAAACCGTTGCGCTAGGAACGGCCGGCTGGGGACTTGCTGTCTCCTCAATGCCTTCCTCTGATTTTTCAGCTGTATTCAGACCACCGCCTGAAACCTTTTCAATTTCTTCTTTCTGGTCTTCCTTCTCCTCTTCAGAGCTACTTGATTCTTCCTCAGGCTCCGATTCTGAATCTGAGCTGTGCCTTCTCTTATTTGCCCCACTGATGCTCCTGATCTTCTCAGGTGCAATGGTCCCTGGCTCCTGCACCATCCTAGCACAAAATACCAACACATACATTCTCCAGGACCTCAGGCCAGACACTTCTCACACACATAAGTCAAATCAGTAAAAGTCACTGCCTGAGCCTAAATCTGGCTTTTATTCAATTGGATTAAGCCATTTGTGTTTGGAACAATCACAATTCAAGCAGAAGGCTGGACCTGATAACCTACAGAGGATCAACCAACCAACACTCCTGCAATGCTACTGACCCCAACTTTGGTCACGTGTAGACTATCACGTATTCAAGCAGTTGAGTACTACTCCTGCAGTGCTACTGCCCCCAACTTTGGTCAGGTGTAGACTTCCCTGCAGATAAACTATCACGTATTCAAGCAGTTGAGTACAGTAACTGCTTCCCTGCTAAATTAAGAAAGAGAAATTCCCTTCTTCTACTAGAAACAAGAGAGTTGCAAGAGTAGGTTCTGTACAGTGACTACAAAAATCAAAACAAATCCATTTCTCCCCTAGCAACATGTATTCTTATCTAAGCATGCTCTATGTTGATATCTATTCATTTCTTAAAAACCCATATTTGTAGTTTAATTTATTCCGACTTCTGTCCATGTGAAACTCTGGGTGATCTAGTTAATTACAGACTGTAGTCAGTCAAACATTTTCCAATTTTGAAAAAAAAAAAAGTAAATATTTTAAATATTTATTTCACTAATTGCCTAGCTTTAGCAGAATCTATTATTAGCGTTTGCACATATAATTGTTATTCATCTTACACATCCTTAGGAAATGAAGGGTCACGTTACTTTAAACATATTGCCAGGTGAAAGTGGAAAATACTTAAATCAATCCATTTTGAATAATATGTATGCAGTAAGAATATGGAAAAAAACGTGCCCGTTTCAAAATCACTACAGTTCACCCAGGAGGCTCTTTCAAAGCAGTGCTTTACCTTTTGGTCTGATACATTCGCTCCCCAATGCCCAGCTTAGAAGTGGTGTACAGAAGCTTCATCTCTGCCTCGGAAGCCTGGACTTCACTGAGTTTGCTCAGCAACTCAGCTCGCTATGTGGGAAAAACAACCAAAATCAGGATTTATACTTTATGAGCAAATAATTTCGTATCAAGAGTAGCCCTTGAGCTTTACAGATGAATTTGTCAACTATTGGTGTGGGGGTTTAAAGATATAATAGAAGCATTGGGAGCAGCACGCAGTTGAAAGTCCACTAAGTGCAGTATTTTGCAGCAGGGCCACACTTCTCATACACTCTACTAGATTTTAAAATATGGGGTTATTTACTTTGCTAGTGAGGTATTTTGTGTACATAGTGTCCACAACAGCAGTGGAATGAACTTCTCATCACATTTTCCTAATCCTGTATAATTTCTTTTATATTGTAAAAAAAGAGTTAACATGTTGAGACAAAAATAAAAGTATATAAAGGCATACACCATTTTATCACTAACACACTGCATCAGCAACAATGAATCTTCTTCCTATGAATTATTCTTAAAGAGAAGAAAATGACATCTTGCCAAGATCAAAGACAGAACAAATCGGGCCCAGAAATAGTGAGTTCTGACAGCCTGATGTGGGGTCAGGGTGAAGGGAATTTTATTTCACCCCTGGAAGTTACACTGAAGGCACCATGTGTGGCCTCATGCTTTTGCCAGAGCATGCAGAAAATACCTGGTTGTAACACAACCTTCTAAGCTTCGGCTCGAACGTGTCCTGGAGATGCCCCAGAGCTCACGTTCACACCAGCAGCCTACGAGGGACACCCCGCTCAGAGCTGCGCCGCAAGGGAAACCTCAGCACTGCCCATTAGCATCAGCTTCTTATGCACACCGATAGTATTAAATTTATTTAATCGTGGCAGAAGTCACATGGCTGGAGTTTCACTGCTGAGAAACAACATACCTGCTTTTTCTTTTCTTTCTGCTCTAAAACTTTCTGCAGGTTTTTCTTCTGTTTCTTGCTTAAGGGCTTTTTTGGCTGTTGAGAAACACTTGATACTTTTTTCTTCTTTGCTTTTTTTGAAGGCAAGACCAGGGCGTTACATCCATCAACTCCTTTCAGCGTTGCTTCATCTGAAAGCATTTGTTTGATTATTTACCTGTGCCAGGGAGGTTGCCTATTTTCAGCATATTGCTCAATGGGCTTATTGCAAACCTGACTCGATTTAGCTCAGTTTTAGACTGAGATTTAAACTCAGTTTTAAACCAGCCAAAACAAACCCCAGGTTTCTGATAAGGCCTGGAAAGGAATATGAAATCAAGGCCTCAGCACAACTGTGTTTTTCCTGGAGTTAGGTAACACTAATTGGGCCTTTTTTCAGATCCCCCTGAAAGTGAAGGACAACTAGAGCAGGAGGGACTGGGTGCCTTGGCATGACCCATGGTCTCTTGCCACCCCCATAAATATTTAAATTACACTAACAGAAATTTATATTAGAAAGGTTTAAATAGTAAGCAGAGGATTAAAAATAATTTAAAAAAGCCATATGAATAAAATAAAGTTTAAGAAAATAAGAACATAATTCGCATTAACTTAAAAACTGTTCAGGAAGTGAGTTAAAATAACTAATTAATAAAATATTTTAAACTGTGTACTAAAACGGTTATTAATAGCAAAAGAACGTGACACATTAGTTTTAAATAACTGAATAACCATTGGAGTAAACCTAAATGAAGTATCACTAAAATAACATGGCAAAGGTTCAGGAGCGCTCTGGCAGCTCTACTTTAACGATAAACATTGGCAGTAACTGAGAGAGCGGCCGCGAAGGGGGACACGGCCCGCCGGTAACGGTCCCGCCGCACCTCCCCGCTCCCGCTCCAGAGGGAGTCGCGCGAGAAGGAGGCGGCGCGGGATGGCGGCCCCGCCTCGCGGGTCCTGTCGCCGCCGGAGCCTCGTGAGGGGCCGCGGCCGCCGCATGTTTGGTTCCCTCCGTACCCCGAGGACCCAGCGCCCTCCGCCGCGCTCCTCAGCTCCGCGGCCGCCGAGTGTTTCGTTCCCTCCGTACCCCGAAGACCCAGCGACCTCCGCCGCGCTCCTCAGCCCCGCGGCCGCGCGCTGGGAGATGTCGCTGCGGCCGCCGTCCCTCAGGCGGGCCCGTGTTGGCGCCCAAAGTAACGGTCGCGGCGCCGTGAGGCGGCTGTGGCGGCCGCGCCGGCTCCCTCCCGGCCCAGCGAGGCTTCCCCACAGCGCGGCAGCTCTCAGGGCAGAGGCTCAGGAAACGTTTATTTTAAGCTTTGTCACAACACGGTCGACTCGTGAAACTGGTCTACAAATGCCTAACTACATCGTACAGTGATGGGGTGGCCGCATAAGTAATAAATAAAGGCATGTGGAGCTCTGTAAAAAATAAGTTGGATATATTTGTAACTACTTAACAATATTATCGGTAGAATCTAATGTTTCCCTAAGGATCATAGGTCAAAAGTATACATAGACCATTTCTTCAGACCAAGTTATTTTTACAGAAACACAACAGTTGTACAAACTTAAACACTATTAATCTTGAAATCTGATGTACAAAACAGAATGTGAAATCACTAACATCAGTGCTGATAATGAGTGCTACCATAGCAAATATAATTTCTGATTAAAAAGAATATTTTTATGTGCTAATTGTCATCACAGTTCAATGGAATTATCCAAAAGTTTAAAATGCATGCAGATACAATAAAATCTTTTATTTTCCAACTCCAACAAAGAGAACTTAACGGTCATTTACGTCGTTAGCTGCCAAATACAGATCAGTATGTGAGGCAAATCACACTTAAAAACTTCTACACCATCAAAGAGATAAGATTTATACTGGTCTATTTTCCACATTAACTATGCAACAAGTCTTTAAAAGCAAATCACAATTTGAAGGACGCACTATTAAGTACAGCATTGAATTACATCAGATTTTACACATTGTACTCTGATACCCAATATCACTTTTAAAAGCATTATTACATTCTTAATACAACAGATCAGTTACCTATACAGGTGAGGTGTGCACTTTCAGAGAAAACTGCTACAAATGTAAGTTGTTTTGCAAAAATGTCAATGCAAAAATGTCAATATACTGAGAATACATTGTCCTACAGTGGCTTCAAATATCAGGTCTTAAAGCATGAAGCTAAAAACACTTAAGACCTTACTGGAATTTCTGGTATCGGACAGTTTGAAGTCCTTCTTGAGCAGTTACATGTCAACCAGTGCATTGAGGTGACACTTCCAAGTAGCTGCTGGGAATGGGCTGGTAGATGGGAAGAGTTTGATACCATCAGCCTTTGGATCAAAGGACAGGTTTAGTGTATTTACACACGTGTAACTGCACCTCAGATAACCCAGGAGCACTTTTAAAGTCACTTGCACCAGATCAGGTGCAAAAGATAAACGGAATAGTAGAGGAATGCATAGGTGCCACCACCCAGCTCTGAAGAACAGGACAGTGGTCAGAGCACAGGTCTGGGAGCTGCGAGATCTGGGTTTTGTTCCCCTTCCTGCCACTTGCTGCGTGGTCTTGGGAAAATCTGTCAAGTTCTGTGCCTCAGTCTATCCACGTGTCAAATGGTGATAACTGCACAGCTCTGAATTAATTTAAGGTGCTCCATCAATGGCAATGTAAAAGCAGTGCTAACACTTTCACTGGAATAAGTCCCTAAAAGCAGAGCAAAAAAATTCATGGATAAACTAGGTAATTCTGCATGGAAAAATATATGTAAAAGGTATTTACAAAAGTAACTTGAAAGAGGTTAAATACAGTGCCACATTCAGGTCCCTAAAGCATTTTCACTACAGTGCATGTTTAAAAACACAGAACCTTTTTAAAAGTATCTCTATATATTGAAGATTAGACTGCTTACCAAAAAAAAAAAAAAAATCACTACTTTTGAATTTTACTACAGTGAAAACTGAGCACAAGGAAAAAATACTGATTAAAAATACCCAGTTTTAGATATACTGCTTTTCACATAACATTTGGCTGTACATGGGATGTAAGTAAATACAAAAATAGTTTTTTCATGCAGCAGGGTGATCAAAATTAGAAGATCATTAATACAGAAGGGCTGATTTTATAAAACTAAAAGACATGACTAAAGAGACAGGGAGAAACTATAGTCCAAATTAATTTTCATATAGCATTTTAAAATAAATCTTTAATAGACAACTCATAATATATAAACGATTCAAATATTCTTAACTTCAACATTCAATATGGATTACATAAAATACTATCTATGCAAAACTGACTCATGCACATAGTCCTATTGAAGTCAGCAGAGTCGCTTACATGAGCAAGGTTTGCAGGCTTTGGTCCTCAGGCCTCAGACTTAGCCCAACACTTCAAGGCTGTACAAGATTTGCTAATCAATTCCTAATTTCCATGGTGGTCTTTTAGCCCAGTCCTCTGAGCATAGCAGAGGAGGGAAAACATTATAGGGAAGACTATGTATGTAATACTATGGAAAATGAGCTGTAAAGAAAGAAATATGAATATTCAGCTATACTAAGCAGAGTATTTGTTACAACAGTACTCTGTTTCTACTCTGTACTCTCTACAAAAAAAAAATTACTCATGAAAAGCAGTTACTTTGCCACTCTAAACATATTTCTTCAAAAACAGAGCCAGTAATGTACAGACGATGTAAAAAAGTAAAATGGCTTACAAGAGTGCCAATTGCATATGAAACCATTACACTGAACTTAAGGAATCACGGTTTGGAACAAGTGCCATAAATATGGATTGCAAAATAATCGTTTGTGCAAATGTCACATACAGACCAAAAGGTTAGGCAACTAGTACGCATTTAAAAAAAAAATTCTCGAACTTCAGCATACAGAGAAAAATAAATTCTCCCCAAAGTTACATTCAGTTAAGTGTCACATCCAACAGTTCTACCCAGCAAGATAAGAAGTCGAAGCCCAAGTGGCAAACGTGGCCAGTCCCGCTGAGACGGGCGATCACAGGCGAAGTGAAAACACATGGATCATCGCTTGATACTTGTTCCCCTTTGCTTTTTGCCAGTATCCCTGACTAGATTTTATGGTAATCGTTTTTCTGTACTCATTTAGATTATTAGGGAAAACATTTCTTATCTGCAGCCCATTTTACTTCACACAGGATTGATTCTGTGCTCATTACTATGGCGTTAGATGCTTTCCACCTCTGCTCTCCTTCATTTATATCCTTGAATGCGATAGGTTACTAAATTAATTCACCCATCAGGCTTTCTTCCCTGAGGTTACCTTTGTTTCAATGCATTTCTGCAATCCTTACAAAGCCAGTGATAATCTACCAAGCTAGTTTAACATTGCAAATACATGGAATTCTTCAAAGTAAACTTGCTTCAAAGCTTCCACATTACTTTGGAATACAACTGTTCAAGATACTCTTCTCATAAGGTGACTCACTTTCCCCAAAACCCGATGTAGTGAGGACACAGACTTCCAACAAAAAGCTCCTATAAAACTATTATATTTTTAGGAAAAGAAAATCCAGATCTTCCTGAAGGTAATTTATTGCCGCTTATTGGTCCTGAGAAAGCTTTAAGCAATAATCCATTTGCAAGTGTTTTATCTGCTGCCTTTTTTTTTGAGAAAGTACATGGGTCCTGAGACTAAAAACCATGTTTTATCCTATGCACTTATGCTTGGAAAATGCTTCGCTATGAAGATCAAATATGAACTATGATCTGCCACACTACATCTCTTTCCTTCAGGTCAGTTTCTTAAAATAGATTTTCTTTCAACGACTTAAGCTAAATTCTTGATACAAAATGCAATGAAGTAAAACCATATATCTACATTTAGGAATTCTTCATATGAGACCGGCATTTAAGGACTTGAAATTCACAAAATCTTCCTTCTCTCCTTTTTTCCTCGACTCCTATTAAAAGCTATGGTGTGAATTTTTTGGCTTGGATACCAGAAAATTCTTCATATGATACTCTATGAAAGGCAACTTCAAGGCAATGAAATAAGCAAACAATAAAACAAAAACATTGACAACTTCAAAAAAAAAAAAAAAGTGGACCCACAGCAGTTACTTCTCAAGAGAAGTGTTTGGTAGCTTCATTTTTTTTTCTTATTAACATTTTAAAGTGTCAAATTTGCATATGTTTAGCTCAATTTAAATATCTGAAATACTACTCAATTTGCTTTTATAAAAACTTTACAAAAGATGTTTTTAAATGCTTGTAAAAGTAAGCGTTTATCTACTGAGAAAATTCTAGTACTGGATAAAACTCTAAATATACAGCTGAAATCTTTAAATGTTTCTTTCCTTACAAGTATAATGGCTGAGTGTATAATCTAGATAAATTAGTCTTACACATGATGAAAAGTTTTAACCTTGCACACTTTTTACCATGTGATGTTTTGCTGCTTTGTAACTTCGAATGAGACAGTGCTTAGGAATTTTCTAGAGAGCTGGTGTACAGTGGTCTATAGGGGTCGGTTCATTGGTCACTGCCTCTGTCCAGGTTTTCAATTACCCTAGAAAGACGAATATTGAGAAGTCTGATCTGGCTGTCAAGGTGGTCCATCTTCTCCTCCAGGCTGCTGTTGCTGTTTCTTCTCCAGTAAAATCCAACAGGCCCGGTCATGAAATAGACGGCTACAACAAAGCAGAGAGGCAGCACCGCGTGTTCTGGATCACCTTCGTACTTCTGGAGGATGTACACACACGAGAGGGTGAAGAGGGCAACCCTTGCAATCCAGAAGAAGCGACCAAACATCATATGCAGGAGATAGAAGAAGAATCCAAGGAAGAGAGATAAAAACCAATAGGCAAGTAAAATGGCACCAATCAGCAGAAGAGCACGGGTTGGGTTGTTGGCAATTGCTGCTGGGCTGAAATAATGAGTCAGGTTGGAGGCTGAAAAACAGAGGAAGAGTTACAAAATGTGAATTCGGGCAAGTGAAGGTGACAAGGGTAAAGACACAAGCACAGCTACCAAAGGGCCCTGCGCTGTGGTCATGACTGTCTTTGACAAAGTAAGGGGAAAAGCTAGTTCCTCTATTTCTGGATGGACCTTTTCAAATCACTGGCTCATCATGTTGCAGCTGAATTAATTCCATTTAGAGATGTTAAAGATTCTTTATGGAAAGACAAGCTGCCACGGGGCATAAGATGAAGGCTAATATCAAGGACCGAGGATTTTTCTCTGGAAAAGTTGTATTGTAAAGGCTCTCATATTGTATCTTTCCTTCATGTAGCTGTTCTTACTTCCCTTTCCTGCCCATTTCCAGCCATGCAATGATGATCAGCAATAAATCAGCAATGATCTCTGTAGGGAATTTTAGAGAGATCCAGCAGATATGTATACAGGAACAGCATGGTTGTTTTAGTGCTCTAGTTTAAGAAACTAAACGCAAAAATAAAGCCATATAAAGTGGACAGAGATACCACTGACAGATGCTTTATGAGGCATGATTAAAAAAAAAAGCAGTTATTTTTCTGCTCAGTCTGTGAATATTGCTATCTGCTGATAGGCTTCAAGGGTAAACAGGCATCACACTCACCATCAATCCCAAGAACATCTAACAGGTCAGTCCATATTCTCCAGAATGTGTCCATTAATATATCCACCCCATTCACAAACCTCTCAGTCAGCCTTGAGAAGAACTGAGAAATAAGATTGGGGGAAAAAAAATAAAACAAAAATCCTTAAACACATTTTGCAACTTAATAGCTACAAGTATTGCATATACAAATTATCTATATTACATGCACATGTAATATATAAGGCTGTGGGAATTGTAATTCGGAATAGCAGAATATTTTGAAATATACTGAGTACAACGGGTCATTCTTACTCCAGGCAGTTGGATATGCAGTTTTACACATGCTAATAGCATTTAAAACACGCAGTTTGCAGTTAACCCTGCCTGTGCCCTCTCTCCGCAGCGGGAAAGGGTCCACGGCGATGTCCTCGCTGGGCACGCAAGGCCGCAGCCCCTCTCGAGCCCCCTCGCCCCCTCCAGTAAGTTTATTTTATGGCTTTATAGATTTTATGGTTTTCTCGGATCTCGCTCCCGCCCAGCCTCGCCTCCCGCTTCCTCCCTCTCAGCGCCCCCCCGCCCGGCCTCCCGCAGGCACCGCGGCCGCGCGCCCAGCGCCGAGCCCCGCGCCGAGG